GTTAAGTTGCGTTTCAACTTCATTTCTGTATTGATTGAATGTGTCTATTCCTTCATCTTTACTATTAAGTAAGTAAACATAGCAATATTGAGTATTGTCGTCAGTAAAAGTTATGAAATACTTCTTTCCACCGCGAGATGGTATTGACTTCATGTCGTAAATATCTATGTGAATTAAGTCTAAAGGATTTGAATTCCTTTCAACTGACTTATAAGGATGTTTAACATACTTAGATTCCACACATATTTGACATTTTGATTTGTCGCATTCAAACTTAGGCAATACTTCCAAATTAATCATTTTCCGCAAGGTTTTATAATTGACATGTCCCAAATGTATATGCCATAAATCAATTGACTCAAGTAAGTAAGAAGAAGGTGAAGTTTTATTATTCTCAACGACTATTACATTCAGTTTGAAAAGGCCATCAGTGAGGTAACCTTTTCCTACAAACATCTCATTCTTACTTATTACAACCTTATCAGATACAAAAACACACTTAAACCCGTTCTTAATAAGGAGTCCAGCAGAGACTAAGTTCTTCCTAATCTCGAGAACATGAAGGACGTTGTTCAGAGTCACCACCTTGCCAGAAGTCATTTTCAGAAATATCTTGCCGCATCCCTCAATTTTGGCCGTTGCAGAATTTCCCATAGAAAGCGTCTCTTCGGGTCCAACGGGAGCATATGTAGCAAACGCTTCTCTAACAACACAAACATGGCGAGTGGCTCCAGAATCAATTCACCACTCCTTAGGATTTCCCACCAGGTTGCATTCAAAAGCATAACACACAAGTCATCAACATCTTCGTGCTTTTCAACCATGTTTGTTTGACCCTTCTTCTTGTCTTTCTTGGAGCACGACAATCTGCAGATTTGTGTCTAGCTTTTCCACTGTTGTAGCAATTTCCGTTGAACTGCTTCTTGCTTGGATTGCTTTTCGGTCCAGAAGCCTTCTTCCTCTTTCTATTATTTTGAGGAGCATCCTCAACAATGTTTGCTCCCATTATTGTTGAGTTTCCACGCCTTTCTTTTCAGCAGCTTTGTTGTCCTCTTCGATTCTCAACCGAAAAATGAGATCTTTAAGCGACATCTCCTTGCGTTTGTGTTTCAAGTAGTTTTTGAAGTCCTTCCACAAAGGAGGCAACTTCTCAATCATCGCTGCAACTTGGAATGCTTCATTGATGACAAGACCTTCAATGAAACTTCTGTTAGTAAAAATAATATAATTAATAATTTCAACATCAGTATTAATTCGACTTATACCTTCAGTAAGGAGATCATGAATAATCACTTGAAATTCCTGGACTTGGGTAATAACAGACTTGCTATCTACTATTTTGTAGTCCAAAAATTTAGCGGCAACAAATTTCTTCAACCTGTTATCTTCAGTTTTGTATTTCCTTTCAAGCGCAATCCACAGTTCTTTTGATGTCTCCACACTACTATAGACGTTATACAGGTCTTCCTCCAATCCGCTAAGAATGTAATTCTTGCATAGAAAATCAGAATGCTTCCACGCCTCAATCACGAGAAAGCGTTCATTGTCTAGAGTTTCGTCGGGCAGAGCAGGAACATCTTCCTTAATGAACTTCTGTAGACTTAAAGTCGTCAAGTAGAAGAACATCTTCTGCTTCCACCGCATGAAATCAATCCCGAAAATTTTTTTGGGTTTTTTTGCCGGTGCCAATGCCGGTGTTGTTCGGCTTGTCGATGCATTGGCAGTCACCATAGGAATAGTCTGGTTCCCGTTGTCATTCGTCATTTCTGTAAAAGAATGACATAAACAAAAGTTAAAATCACGTAGATTTTAATCTCCAAAACGGAAGTAGAAAACCACAAAGGTTTTAGTCTCCAGAACAGTGAGTATAACACAAATACAGAAAATAATTAAGTTCCTTAAGCTTGTTAGTAAACTGTATTTGTAAAATAATTCTGGAGAAGATGAAATAATATATACATAGAAATGTAAAAGAAACATAATTAATCAGAGCCCATTGAATTCACAGTGTTTCCTTAAGAAACTTAATCCCCTCCTGGAAACCGAGATTATGGATTATTTTCTCCCAGGATAGAATGGATAATTTGGATTTAATATTAATTTTCCGTTACAGAAAATGGATATTTACTAAAATTACGTCAATATTTACTATTAACAAATAAATTTGGTCCAAAAAAATTAATTAATCAATCGACCAAATCCGAAGCCAAAGCCGAGCCGAGCCGAGCGAGCGACGGCGACGACGGCACAAGACTTGCCTTCTTCTTAACTCCTTAAGAGCTAGAAGAAGAGCAATTGTATATATACCCATCAAAAGTCTTTTCCTCCTCCAATATGAGACAATGTCCCATTGTCAAGGAGGGAAACTCAAATATTTCATTTTCCTCCATTTCCCATTCACCTTTTTAAAGCCAAAATAAGCTTAAAAAACTCAACAATCCCCCACATGAATGGGGAATAGCTATGTCACGGAAATATGCATGAAAAACTGTGTGATTCGCAAGAAGGATTAATCGCATCTGGATAAGTAGGTTTCCCTTTGAATTTTCCGTAGTGAACTTATGTCGGATATACTCGGTCAATCGGTAGATTTGATATCTTTGAACCGTCAAACTTTGGTGTATACCTAGACAACCATAAGTCACACAATCAACCCTTAACCGTCTTTGGTTCTCATTGTTGTGTTCGTTTCAGCCATGAACACCGCCTGATTTCATAAGTGTGTAGAGAATGGCCTTATAAAATTCTCCTTGAAGCGGCTAACGCTTCACTTACATAGGTGATTCTTAAACGTGTCATCCCGTAGATACACTATTTGATATACCTCGTATCAAATTTTGAAATCATTAAAAAACCTTAATGCTTTATCCTTGGTACTGAACATTGTCTCATCACGAGAATGGACCAAAATATTAGTTGACAGTGTTGAACCGTCATTAATGACTTTGTTTGATCTCCTTGAACCTAGATCTTGGGATCTCCAGTTTTCTAGGTAGAGTTACCGCCACAATGACTTGTCCTCGGCCATAGTCCCATTTCCCTCGATGATTTATCAACTACCTCTCTAGTTAGGCCTTTTGTAAGTGGATCCGACATATTATTGCTTGACTTTACGTAGTCAATTGTGATAATTCCTCTAGAGAGTAATTGCCTAACGATTTTATGTCTTCATCGTATATGATGAGATTTACCATTATACATCACGCTTTTAGCCCTTCCAATTGCCGCTTGACTATCGCAATGTATGCATATTGGTGCCAACGGTTTGGGCTAAAATGAAATATCTTCCAAGAAATTCCGGAGCCATTCAGCTTCTTCACCGGCTTTATCTAAGTTTATGAACTCACCCTCCATTGTAGAACGGGCAATACAAGTTTATTTGGATGACTTCCAAGATACCGTTCCTCCTCCAATAGTGAATACATATCCACTTGTGGACTTAGAATCAGTTGAACCGGTGATCCAATTTGCATCACAGTATCCCCCAATCACCGTAGGATATTTACTATAGTGCAAAGTAAAGTCCTGGGTATGTTTTAAATATCCCAAAACTCGTTTCATTGCCATCCAATGAGATTGACCTGGATTACTCGTGTATCAACTCAATTTACTTATAGCACAAGCTATATATGGTCGTGTACAGTTCATGATATACATTAAACATCCCAACACACGAGCATAATCCAATTGTGATATGCTTTGGCCTTTGTTCTTTGCTAGTGCAAGATTCACGTCAATTGGAGTCTTTGCAACTTTAAAATCTAAGTGCTTGAATTCTTCAAGTACTGTCTTAATATAATGAGATTGTGACAATACCAGACCTTGAGGAGTCTTATGGATCTTAATACCCAGAATTAAATCAGCAACTCCCAAGTCCTTCATATCAAACTTGCTAGTTACCATACGCTTAGTCGCATTTAATCTCCAAAACGGGAGTAGAAAACCACAAAGGTTTTAGTCTCCAGAACAGTGAGTATAACACAAATACAGAAAATAATTAAGTTGCTTAAGCTTGTTAGTAAACTGGAGAAGATAAAATAACGTATAAATAGAAATGTAAAAGAAACAGAATTTAATCCGAGCCACTGAATTCACAGTGTTTCCTTAAGGAACTTAATCCCCTCCTAGTACCCGAGGTTGTGAATTATTTCCTCCCAGGATAGAAGGAATGACACACTGGTGTAGCGGTACTTCAAATCCTAGTGTTTCAGCGAACACAATGATTGGTAGCAAATCACACTTATTGTTGCTTTCTTTGTAGTTAAAACAATGGAGAAGAAAGGAGGAGAATTAAGAATTTCGTATGGAAATTATGAGGAAATGGACTGATATTTATAGCCGCAACCTGTTGAGTTCAAACGAAGAGGTGCAACTCTTCAGAGGTCAGTTACGTAAATGGCCATTTACGCAAATTAAAACGGGAATTCAAACGAAGAGGAAATTACTTTTCCGTTACAAAATACAGATAATCGTTAATATTTACTATTAACAAATAAATTTGGTCCAAAAAATTAATCAATCAATTATTTGGCCGAAGCCGAAGCTGAACCGAGCGACGACGGCGCGAGACTTGCCTTCTTCTTAACTCTTTAAGAGTTAGAAGAAAAGCAATTGTATATATACCCATCAAAAGTCTTTTTCTTCTCCAATATGGGACACTGTTCCTTTGTCAAGTAGGAAAACTCAAATATTTCATTTTCCCTCAATTTCCTATTCACCCTCTTTTAAGCTAAAATAAGCTTAAAAAACTCAACATTGTTAACCTCCATTAATTCTTAAAAGCACCCTGCCCAAATACAATTTAACATACACCAAATGCGTAGAAATTTACCCTCTGGCTAACCTCTATGTATATCTTCATCTTTCTTCTCAGATATAGTGGCATTTGCACGGCTTAAAGTTAGTCTTTAACTTCCCATTGCTATGGCTTTAACTTCTGATAAGAAATCATTAACGTGTGATATATACTTTTTTCCCTTTGGTAACAAAAATACTGATGCTGTTTATAAGATGGGTCATTTATCCAAACCCGGGTATAGGCTCAAATTCAAATACAACTAAAATTTAGGTTATCAACAAACAGTTTAAGATTTTCCACTTGAAATTAAAATGTGGCTCTAGGTTCTTTATTACAAGTGAGGCCAAGTATAACTGCTTGAAAGAGAGCGTCTCTCTGTTTATGGTCCAAAAGTTGATCCAAACTTGTAGCGACTCTACACTCTAGATTGCCACACTCTCATGCTGATGAACTATAACCAGTAGGGAAGACCTCACACCCTATGGCTTAAACCGGTTAATTTGCATTGCAAACGCTAAAATCATGAGGCATATATATCCTATTAGCTGCTTCCTGGAGTGCCACACGCAAATTTAACTTTTCTGGGTACATTAGCTCTTAGAAGGAAAAGCCAACGAGGCACAAAGTAAGACCCAATAGATGCTCCCCGGGGCTGCTTGAGAGTTTCTATGTAAGCAACTTTTCCTGGTTCAGATAAGCACTTATGTTACCGAGGCAAAGACATATATCATTCTGTTAGCTGCTTCCTGGGGTGGCTGGGGACTTCTCGATAAGAAACTCAATTTTCTGGTCATGTAAGAAAAGACTTGTTATATGAGAGCAAGTTTCAGAAACATGGCAGAAAGCATATGTTAGAATGAAGAAGTTTCAAAAACATGGCACAAGGAATATGCTTAGAATGAAATGAAGTTCGAATTCGAACTCATTGCTATTATGTTCACTCTTTCTAGTAAGATCATAATCAGTTCATTTGCTTCACAAAACATCTTGAGAACTTAAACAGTTTTCAAGGAGATAAATGTCAAGTATCTAGAAATATGTGCAGTAATAGACATGGTATTCACCTTCACTGATTTATTAACTTCTTCAAGCTTATGAAGCAGAAAATCAGAAGATACAAAACTTCTGGGCTCCATTGAAGCATGGCGTGGGGAGCCCGTCAGCTGCATAATAGACAGATGCAAGTTCAGATATTTAAGTAAAATGAAGTAAAAAGAAACATTTTAATAGGACTTGATTTACATTGTCCATTCAATAATAATGATGGATCATGGATGTAAGATAAAACTGTATTCCGCAACTAGATGTAAGTACTGGAGCTCTACTTAAAACAGGTTCAGATAAAATGACATAGGCAAACGGGACATCACTTAAAACGACGAGATAAGGTGACCCTATTTCATTGTGTTTCTATATTTTCGACATGAAAATTGCCCAAAACAAAGAGATAAACCTGATCTAGTGGCATGATGCCCTTCTGCAGTGCCTTATAGCGATGTGTTATTAACACAACTTTACGCCTTACTATTATCCATGCAAAAAGATACATTGTCTTAAGATTTTCAGGAAGAAATTAAGCCCATAGCAGTAAATTCAGACAAAGTGGTCTTCTATAACCAACTTGGTAAACAAAATCTCAAAAGACCCTGGGCCTAGGATCTGATTTAGGTAAAAATGTTGGATTATCGCTTTTACCTTTAAAGTTTTAGATGGTGATCTCAAAACAGCTGGAGCCTGAGTTAAAGACTCCATGCGAGAAATACTTTCACCGTCACCACCTTGAACCACTGATCTCCAACTCCTTCCAGCATGTATGACCTTTGATGCTTCAGTTACGATGACCTGCAAAAAAAGAAATGACACTTCAAACTTCATAATCAATGTTCTGGTCTGCCAATGAACCCACAAAAAGTAAAATCATAGAGCAGTGAAACTTATTGAGTGAAAAATCCCAAAAAGCAAAAAGGAGAAAAAGAACAAAGGGGAAGTTTCACAGAGCATAACAGATTATTTTACCTTCCTTAGGACTCCAGGATTATGTACACCTTGCACCTGCAGTTCATCAACTGGTGCAGCTTTTCCACGGGCTATACTTTCAACTCTGAAGGTGTGCAGACCAAACATTGACTGCAAGCAACCTACAAACATAGATTGTCAAAGTTTTTAACAGCAATAGGGCACAAGAGGCGTTCATGAGGTACTACAGAGAGTCAGGAAAAAATACTTTATCAAGTAAAACAGTTGAAAAGAACAACAGAGAATTTATTTAAAATGAATAGAGTTCAAGAAGATAATGAATGTGAGAATGAACGGCCATGGGTGAGTAATATTGACTGTTATGAACTGAATGAGAATTACCAAGCTAGTGCCTAGTAGTTGCATTACGATATGGCTAACGCCCATCTGCTCAATGTCTAAACTTGTTTCCTTTTCTTCCTACTCAAATTCTTAGAAAATGTTTATTCTTGCTGTATAGAGTCAATTTACTACTTTATCCACCACAAGACCGTCAAGTCTAATTCTCCTTTTGTTTTTTCTCTCTTAATCTGATTGGATAAGATACCTTCTATACTGCTCTTTACATCAGAGAAAGACATACACAAGCTCAGATCTTGTGAAACTTGTAATGACAAGTTTAAATTGTTCTTCGAAGATGTAGCAACCAAGGATCTGCTTTTCCAAAACTTGACAGTTGAACAGGGACATATAATTTACATGCAACAAATTAATAGTAGATGTTCATGAGATTGTAAGATTTTATCAGATGCAACCAATTGAAAATGTGATTTGGTGAGATTAAATCAGAATTCAGAATTTAGCCCACAAGTGTCGATGGAGAACTCCAACTTTTAGCAGGAACAGAAAATTCATTTGAAAGTTAAGGCCTCTATTTTGGGATTGAGGCATAGTGGATTGATTCTTGTCCAGCATAACCCCATTCCACTGTTCATCTAGCACGACCTCTTTATCAATGGATGGCCGATCGCGATTAATACAAAAATTTGGAATGAGGTTGAACCAAAAGAACAGTAGAAGAGTTTTAAAGGATGTAGGATAAGAGAAGTTGCAGTTGGTACCTTGTTCAATAATAATATCTATCACTAAAGGAAGAGGAACGTGCTTTTCAAATTTTATGTGTCCCCAAAATGGTATAAATGAAGGTCTTGACACCTACAATTGACAAAAGCAGATGTATCAGCTATATTGTCTCAAGAAAACAGCATGATTTGATCAAGCTATTGATACCTTGTAAACTATTTCATCTGGAGTAACATAAAGTTTGCGTGATGAAATTTCCTTTTTAAGCACATATCTTCGTATGGGCAGATAGAGTAACATAATTATTCCAATCCCCCAAGCTAAAACCAACAGCAACGATATAGAGAGCCATATTATAGTGTCATACTGAACACTTTCCGCTCCAAGTTCATCAAAAGAAGCCATGTATAGTATCTGTTCAGGAGTATCAGCTTCTTCTTCATCATCAGGCTCTGATTCAGGATCAGAATGCAGTAACTTCGACGTTGAACCGAGTTTCGGAACCCCTTCTGCATGTCCCATCAGCATTTTTCCAGTTCAAACCTGAACATTATTTAAAAACATAAACACAAACATGCCAGCTAATACTAAGATATGTCAAAGTTGGGTTTCCATTACAATTACTGATTGATGATGCTCGGTAACCAAACTTGATCTTATGTCGAAGAATTTATGGTCAAATTGGATCATGCAAAAATGGATATCTTATGAGAAACAATTACATTAAGATGGATAATCAGCTTCCTTTTCTTTCTCTAACTGTTCAAGTAAAGTTGAATGATTAAAGCTGCTAAAAACAATCAAAGGCCTCAACCTTAGCTGCATTTCCGTTTTCCGGTCTCTTATTCACGCTCTTACTGTTCTAATGAATCAGCACAAGTTTATTGATGTATAGTATACCAAGATAATGTTTGTAACTTTGTATAAACAAAAACATTCTGAGACGGATAGAAAATGACCACACAACAAACCTAAATTTTCTGTTACCTACCTATGGCTAAAACTCAAGAATTTGAAAACCCAGAAAATGAATCAGCATAATCATACCGTAAAACAAAAGAATCATTATAACTTTGGGTACCTGGGTAAAACACAATAAAAGGAAAGTTACTTCTTTTTTCCCAGCTTCGTAGTTAAAAGAAAAAGGGGAGATAGTATAAAACTATAAATCGTTTTGATCGGGAAAGTGATTGAAGGTAAAAGTTCAGTCCAATTTGTTAGGGTTTGGATTTGGGAATGCTGGGCACTGTTTCGATGAAATTGGCAGTGTACCCAAATGCTACATGCAACTGACCAAACATTCAAATTACGAGCAAAAAAAAGTTGAGCTATTTGGATAATCCAGCCCGATCCTTTTGCTATTCGGGTTAGTCGGGTTTACTCAGCTTTACCAGAAAAATGGGTTTTAATTATCTTAGTATCTGTTTGGAAAACTACCTGGTAATTGAAATTAGTGTAATTATTATGGTAGTAATTACACAGCTTAGTAATTCCACAATATAATAATTACGATGACATGTTTGTTTGTCATAACATAATTACAGAGCAATTATAAGCGTATTGTTTGGTTGCACAAGTGTAATTACACTGTTAGGCTAAATTTTAAATGAAAAAATTATCAAAACTTAAAAATTAATATAATAAATATATGCCTATAAATAATTTTATATAAGTAAATGATATCAGATTTGGTATTTAAGATGCGTATTTTTTCTTGAATATACATTAATTAGTAATCATATATTTATAACTAATATTATAAAATAAATTAATATTTATAAATATAATGTCATAATATTTTTCAAATGTTTGACAAAACTAATCTATCAGTTCTAACTAAAAAATGAACTACACAATTTCAAAATCCAAAAAATAAAAAATAGTTTAACATATGTCAAATTCTAACATAATAAAAATAAGTTCTAATACAACTTAAGATTAGGAAACATAATAAGTTTATAACCTCATTCAACAACGAAATTCTACTTACTGCCATCACTCATTATATGCCAAGTTTGTTAATGGCTTATTATTTCTAACATTAGGAGGTGTAATTTCAAAAACTTGAATAATAACACAGTACGCTAAATGAAGAAAATAAAACAAATAAGAAATAAATATACGAGCAATTACATAGAGTAACAACAACAACAACAACAACAACATACCCAGTTTAATCACACGGGTGGGGTCTGGGGAGGATGGTGAGTACGCAGACCTTACCCCTACCTGGAGAGGTAGAGAGGCTATTTCCGAAAGACCCTTAACTCAAGAAAAGGTGAAAAGGAAGAATAGGGGAGAAGAAGAGGGAGGGGGGGGNAAGAGGAGGAAAGAGGCGGGAGAAAGGCGATAAACAAAGAGGAGAAAAAGTAGCATCAAATAGTAACCATCAGGGAGCAACAATATCCAGTAAAAGGGAAGAAAAAGTATCATAAAAAAGTAACAATCAAAGAGCAACAATCCCAGTAGCAATTTACAAAAATAATGGACGTGGTTGCAAAGTACCAGATACAATAACAAACTAGAAGGAAGTAACTTTCAACCCACAGCAAGAATATTACTAGTACTACTGGTGAACCTATGAAAAAATCGCAACTACCTGTCAACCCACCACCTTAATCCTCGATCTCCAAACCTTCCTATCGCTAGTCATGTCCTCGGTTAGGTGAAGCACCGACAAGTCCTGCCTAATCACCTCTCCCCAATACTTCTTAGGCCTACCTCTGCCCTTCCTCAAGCCCATCGTGGTCAACCTCTCACACCTCATGACCGGGGCATCTATATCTCTCCTCTTCACATGCCCACACCATCGCAGCCTCGATTCCCATAACTTGGCTTTCACATATGCCACTCTCACCTTGTCCCTGATAACTTCATTCCTGATCTTGTCTTTCCTGGTATGACCACACATCCATCTCAATATCCTCATTTCTGCTACGCTCATCTTTTTGACATCGCTCATCTTTACAAGAAGTAAAGGTAGATAAATAATGTACAAAGAAAAAAAAATTATAAAGAAAATAAATTAAAATAAAAACCAAAAAGGAAAGAAATTAAAAAGTAACCTTGTTATTACATAGTGTCATTATCACCAACTCTTACCTCCCCTTGAAAATTGAAGAGTGTAATTACACCTCTCCAATTATATCTAATTCCATGCTGACTAAGTAATTACTTGGCCAGACAAACATGTCAAACTGTATAATTATACCCAAATCCAATTCCTATAAGTGACTTTCCAAAAAAGCTCTAAAAGAAAATTCAACAGAATTTTTTTGTACTCTACAAGATTGAGAAGTGTTGGTATTACTGTGTTCAAAATAAAAAAATTAGAGAAGCAAACAAACGTTAGTTCAATGAACAAATCGTAAAATAATTCCGAGCCCACTGAATTCACTGTGTCCTTAAGGAATTTAATCCCCCCACTATTGCCCAAAGTTATGGATTAATTCTTCCCAGGATAAAACGGAATAACTATTCTGTGATAGAGGTGTGAGCACCTAATTTTTGCCCCACATAGGAAATTACTCCTAAAAATAATTTAAAAATAATTTTTATTATTTTTATGAATTTTTGGGAGTTTTTCTTTATTTGTTTTGTGTTTAGGCGCATTGTTCATGCATCTAGGAATATCATAAGTCATGAAAATCACAACAAAAAATACTTTAGTAATTTTTACATGCATTTTTAGTTAATTAATTTAGTCAATTGTTAGATAAATCATTAAATAGGTTTATTTTTTTGCAATTTTTAGCTTTACTAAGCATAAAAGGAGGCTGCCTAGTCTTAAATAAATTGGGCCGACTTCAACAGCCTATTTCTTCCCTATACCCGTTTCAGCCCACATGCCTGGCCCAACTCCATCCATCCCTATAAACACTCATCCCCTTTACCCTAAAAGGAGGACCTTTTTCCAAAAGACAGACCCCCCCCTTCTAGAAAGCCAGCAGCGGCGCAGCTCCTCTGATTCTCCTCATCCTTCATCGTCCCAAACACACACACACACACATAAACATAGAAAGGGAGCTCAACCTAAATTCATGAGAAGATAACAAACCCCTTTCACACCCAACTTAGCCGCAACCCCAACTCCTCTTCAACCTAAAACAAGCCATCACCTTTTTTTCTTTCTAAACTCCAATAAATCAGCCGCCACCGAGATAGAGAGCAGCAGAAAAATTGAGAGGAAACTGAGGTTTCAAGAATTTTTCAAGCTCCCCTCCTTAGTTTCCGATTCTTTTAAAATTTCAAAAAAAAAATTCTGCTTATTCCCTTTTAATTTCGGATTTCTGTTGCAAAAATGGGGTTTGATTGAATCGAGTTTGTCGTCGTTGTCTCTCACCGTCGGGTTCTGCTACTTTTGTTTGGAGGTTTCGTTGAATACTCTATTCGAAACTTATTCACTGCTCGATTTTGTTCGACTCAATTGCTATAATTGCTGAGGTTCATAACGCTGTTTCTGCTCTTCAACATTGCTGGGCTCCATTTTCAAGTTTCTTGATCTCTATTTAAGCGAATTTTGTTGGTTCGCTGCTGTCGAGGTAATTTTCCTCCAATGTTATGTTTCTGGTCGATTTTGATGCCATAAAGTTATAAGAATGTCATGTTGTGAACTTGAATCAAGGACTGTTGAATACCTATGGCGGAATGTGATTTGTTACACTCTGTTTTGAATTTAACAAGATTTATTCAGTTTGTCCCATATGCTTCGTATGAATACATCATATCTCTGTTTAAGCACGTTAAGAGTAGAAATATCATATAGTTTAACTGTTATTGGTGTCCTTAAAACTGAAAAAATAAAGGTTGGTCTCACTATCCATTTCAATGAGCTTAATGTTTTGTCCTTTATTTCTTGGTTAACTACTATGAGCATGTCTTTGTAATGTGATGATAGTGTTTGTTTCTTTCCATTTTCGTTGGTTTGGTGTCTTAAATTGGTGGAGCTCAGATTTTGATAAAGAACTTAAATACACATGTTGTAGATCGTGGGTACGGTTCCCGTGACACGATTTGCGACATGTACAAAAACAAACAAGTGTACGAGAATCGTAACTTGTTCCAGAAATAACTCCATATATAATTAAAAGCGGTTAAAAAAGTAAAAATGCACAATAGGTTTAAACATGTAATCAGATATTTAGGCCGATTTTTAATAGTTGAGCGACCGTGCTAAAACCACGGAACCCGGGAATGCCTAACGCCTTCTCCCGTGTTAACAGAATTCCTTACCCGGTCTTCTATGTTCGCGGACCAAAAATAGAGTCAATTTTCCTCGATTTGGGATTTAAAATAAACCGGTGACTTGGGACACCATAAATATCCCAAGTGGCGACTCTGAATTAAATAAAATAATCCCATTTCGATTAATGTCACTTAAATTGGAAAAAATCCCTATCCCCTTGGGAAAAAGGTGTCACGACCCGGATTTTCCACCCTCGGGAGTCATGATGGCGGCTACTAATGTGAGCTAGGCAAGCCAACTATTGAACAGTTTACCTTTATCCATTTTTAAAACATTTTAACATTTCTAAAGCATTAATGTGAAACCAGCAGAAATTTCAAATTTAAGCGGAAGACAACGATAACATATATGAAAACTATATCTATTACAAATACTTAAGCGTTAATCACCCAGAACTGGTGTCACAGTACCATAGACGATCTAAGAGTGCTAAATACAAAGTCTGAAAACAAAAGATACATTGTTTCTGAAACAAAGAAATGAAATAGGAAGCAAAGGATAGAGGAGATGCCAGGGCCTGCGGACGCCTGCAGGTCTACCTTGGATCTCCGCGTGGACTGAAGGTAGTCACTCAACCTACGGTCCAAAATCAACAGCACTGGGATTTGCACAAAAGGGTGCAGAGTGTAGTATCAGCACAACCGACCCCATGTGCTGGTAAGTGCCTAGCCTAACCTCGGCGAAGTAGTGACGAGGCTAGGACCAGACTACCAAATAAACCTGTTCAGTTATATAATATACAGCGGAAAGTAAACAAGTAAAGATGGGAGGGGGAGCATGCTGCGGGGGAAATATCAATTCCGAATAGAAAGACAACAGGTAAATGTAAGAAGCAATATATCTCAGTTATCAATAAAGAACTAGAAATCAATAGATGCACGACATCACCCTTCGTGCTTTTACTCTCATCCTTACCAAAACAATCAAGTAATGAAAACGTGCACGACATCACCCTTCGTGCTTTTACTCTCTTTTCTCACCATATAATCAATATAGTCGGCACGGAATGGTACATCGTGCGGCACGACATCACCCTTCGTGCTTTACAATCTTTCCT